CCCCGTTCCAGCCCTCAGTGCAGCCCTGGCCCGGGCAGGGACAGAACGCTGGACACTGAGAGGTTAAAACGAGTAAATAAATGATGGGCCCAGCGCCTGGGATCTAAACTATGTGGTTGCTTCTTTTTGTTTTTTTGTAAAAACAGGATGAAAAGTATCCAGGTTTGCTGATCTGTGTGTGGGAACTGTGCCCATTGGATGGGTCCTCTGATGTTGACTACTCTCTCAACAATATTAGGCTTCTAGAAGTATTAAAATTAATGCTGTTTGTCACTAAAATACAACTTCAGAACATCTGACCACCACAATTAAAAAAAAAAAAAAAAAAAAGATACGGGCTTTTCTTTGTACAGGCTGTTTTTTCCATTATCTAATCCAAATTACATGCATGGATGTCTGCACAGCCTTATTTCAATCCAGTCTTCATTTTTTCCTCACGGTAGCATTTTAATTACAAATAGCACAATCTTCTCTTCTACCTTTCACTTTGAATTCCAGTACGTTTAAACTTGGGAATTCATGGAAGCATCACTGTTACTGCTACTGGTAGATACTAATTGCAGTCACGCTGATTAGTGAACAGGCTGCTTTTCCATTGCAGCACTGAAGACAGACCAGGTTCAGAGCAGAGAACTAATTCTGTTGAGAGAACTCTCCAACCCCCATTCTGTTACTGTATCATCGAATCCTGTAATCACAGAACGCCTTGGGTTGGAAGGTTTAGAGATGGTTTCGCTTCAACCTCAGATGATCCACTTGTGGCTGCATAGGAACCCACCTGCCCTTATGGGCAAGGTGTGCAAACACAAACAAAAGCAGTCAGGAGGGTGGGGTGTGGGTTTGGGGAGGCTCTCCAAAGCCTGGACTAACTCTTGAAGTGATCAGACACTGCAGTAGCTGGTGACCACCAGGGACACACGGCACATGAAGCAGCAGCCTGCCAAGCACACGTACCACGAGAAACAGCAGAGGAGGATGTGGGATCCAAGATTTCAGCACCCCCGTAAACAACCAGCCTGGGCTGCAGCCTCCATGGTTTTATAACATTTCAGACACGCTGCCAGTGCCTGAGGAACAGGAAGCAGCCCAGAGCTATTCGTGGAGCTTGTTAAATGTACATAACTGAAACAGGGTTTAGACAAGTACTTCTCACAGGGCTGTCCAATACCAGAGCCACTAATGAGCACATTTGTTGGTGATTTCTCATTAAATATAATGAACATCAGGTATACTATATCAGATTGCTGTGATTAATGAGGTTTTACTAAAAGAGGTTTCTGCTAACTTTTGTTATTACTGGATCGTGCATACATTCACTGGAAAAAAAAGATTCTATCTTGGAATGCTGGACTCGCAGCATAAAATATTTTCATTGAATTTCTACTAGGAAATATTTTCTTCAATTCTGTTTTTTCTTGTTAGAACAAACCAAACCAACTTACTTTTTTTAATATCTGAAACTGCGTTCAGATATGGATCTCAAAAGTAACCAGATTCCCTTTGGTAGGTGGACAAGTTGTTCAGTGTATCCAGGTCTGCATCAAACAACACTATACATTTCCTTGTCCTGCCAATAAAAGCTTTAATTTCAAAAAGGAGGTAGTTTTCATGCTTGACTCTTACTTTGCAACTACCTCTGTTCAGGCAAAATTCAGTGTCTGGGAAGACTGGTTCAAGTCTGCTGCTTGTGGGGTCAGCTGCAGGACAAACACCTGTTCAGCCCCTGTTCTCTGCTTTCCTCTTTCCCATGCAAGAAACAAACGCAATGCAGCACATATACCACAGACAGGAGCAAATTAAATTGCATTTTCTTTTTATTGAAGCACATTGTGTAATGATCAGAGCGTCTATTGAATCATGCCAATATGCTTTTTATAGCTTAAGCGTTTTCACATTTCTTAACAGTCCTAGTCATAGTCCTAGCAGCCAACAATTGCAATACAGGATTGCAATACAGAATGTATTGGATAATACATGGCTGCTTTCATTATAGATTGCAAGAGTAAGGTGGTAAATGCTTTACCTTGCAGCTGAAAGTCCAGGGAAGGTCTCAAGCCATGACTATCATTTTTGCTTCTGGAACACTCAAGTTTTATTAGTAGTACCTTTAATTATAATTATACCTTATCAGAAAGGCAAATCTACCTTCCCTTGTAAACTGTCTTCATTATTGAGCAGGGCTGGGTCAAGCTGTAATATGAGAGGATTCAGGATGTTCTAAATTTCTGTTAATGAAGTTCGAGATTCTCTTTTTTTTTTCCCATTTTTGGGACTATATTTGTGCAAAACATGTTTTCCATACCATTCTTTCTTAGGAACTGGGAGAAGAATGTGAATTTTTAACTGCTGAAAGCAGTTGGTAGAGTTGGTTTGCTGGTGGACTTGGTTTGCTGGTGGTGGAGTTTTATATGAAATTTTCTATTTTAAAGTGGATTCCTATTTGTCACATTTTACTTTCATTTGCAAATACAGTACAGTAGAATCTTAAAGCTTGTTCTTTGACATTCCTTGGAATGGAACCTTAGAGAGAACAAAGAACTTGAGTTCATTAAGGAAAAGGCAGTGCCTGCCTTCTTGGAAGAAGATACAGACAATTAAGACAGAAGATCAGCCTTAAGCATACAGAAGGGAGAATGAACATGCAAGGGCTGCCTGCTATCAGCACCTGCTGTGTCTGGAAGAATCAATTCATTTCAAGAACTCTACTGACACAAAAGGATCTTTAACAGAGGCCCAGATGAATTACGTGTTGTGCAAGGCAGCCTTGTAGTTGTAATTTTGGATATCAAAATGATTGAGATCTGACTCTCATACAACCTAACAGGCTTTTTGCACCTACTGGCTTAGAGCAGGACCAGGACAACATTGTTTTAAACAATACATAAGACCTGCTGAGTAAGAGACCCAGAAAACTTCAAGCAAGTTTTGAGATGTCTGAACATTCAGCACAGTCTTCCCTGTTTAAAAGCACTATCATACATTTTACAGAATGTCAGGATATTATGAGTTATTAGCAGTAAAACATTCCAAATTATTGTTTTCATAGGTCAAATTATCTCAAGTACCTTAAATGTTCCCCTGCAGAGAGAATCAAATGCCCGAGCTCTCAGGCACAGACAGTGCACTTGTTAATCCAACCCTCTGAATTTACTCACAGGCAGAATTAAACTTGAAGAATCAAACCTGAACATGTTATCTTTAAAAACAAGAACATGCCTAAGAAAAAAAGCAGCACAGCAAGCAGAATATTCTGTCATCTAGAGCATGAACATTTGAATTATTCAGAATAATTTCAGTCCTCAATTTAATTTCATGCATAAGACAAGAACACTTACTTGCCATCTATTAAGAGAACATAATTTTTTGTTCCAGAGATAGTCAGATCTTGAATTCCTGGATCCAATTTGAAAAATTAAGTCTTTAATTCAAAATTTTCCCAGATCAGGGATTAACTATTGTGATTCGGACATAAAATTCTGATTCAGGTATTAACCTTGAAATTCAGATTCTGACTTGAGTTTTGAACATAAAATAAATCTTTACCCTGAATTTGTGTTATCCTATGCACACACATTTTATAAATTAAAATTCATTGATGGGATGGAGAAGTTAGACAAACAACATCACAGCTTTGTGTCATTACCTATCTGCTCAGGGTTGGGGAGGGGGTATGATGCCTGACTGTCTAGTCAACTGCATTAAAGCAATATAGTGTGATCCTTAAATTCAGAAACATCACAGAATGTTCCTCTTAGTACTCATCTTCGTGCAGAATTTGCTGCAAATCTGTGCTGGTTTAAACTATTGTACTGGTTACACAATTTAAAGCTACCCTATTAAGAAAAGAATTACATTAAATAAATGTCAAAGAAGATTTACACAGTTCCCACAGGAATTCCATTTATAGTCTAATTTTCGCAATCTAAATGAAATTAATGTTGCAGTCCCAATTTCATTTTAGGTTTACAGGTCAGTTTTGGCACCTACATCTAATGTAAGTAATACATTACAGCAACTTCAGATGAATCAGAGGTGCTAAGCTTAAATTGCTAAAGATCAGTAGCCCTGCTCACAGAACACAGAGACACAATGAGAGCAGTGTAGGATCAGAGACTCCTGTGAAAACAGCTATTAAATTTCTCTCATGATACATATTAAAAGAGGGCAGGGAGGGGAAAAACCCAAACCCTTCTGTAGAGTATTACAGCTGCAGGACAGAACACACCACCAAAAGTGCAATTCAGGAAGGGTGGGCCCTTGCACATTTTGTTCAAAATACCATGTTCTCCTTTGATCTCAAAAAAACCCAGCTGTAAGAGTCAAAGGGAGGGTCTTGGATTCCTGCTTATGCTGGACCACTCTAACTGACAGCATTTACCATTCTTCCATGAAGTGCTCCTGAGTTTCAAGGCCACAAACCTTCCTGTGGCCATTCTCACCTGCTACAGGGAGGGAGAACGGACACCAGGAGCTACACAGCACCTCCTGGGCACCAGCCT